TAGGGAAAAATCTAGAAAATCTATACATTTTAATTTTGAGAAAATTTGAAGAGAGGGTTTGAAATCCGTAAAATTCTGAAAAATTTGAAGAGAGAAAGGAGAAAATTTGAAATCCACAAAAAGAAATGAGGGAGAGAGTAGAAGATGAAAATGGGAAAAAAGAGATGGAGACGAGAAAGAAAGTGAATACCTGAGAAGATTCAAATGAAAAAAAGAGGCAAAGTAAAAATTTAAGTCAAATTAGTGGAGGGGCACAGATGATTATTATTGGATCGGTATGAAAATCTTAGAGGGATGAATATGGTTTAATTAACAAAAAGCAAATTTTTTAACAAACCAGCCCAATTTAAACAAAAACAATACACTTTTTGAGATATGCAATTTTAACAAAGATAAAATAAATTCTAAGGCAAATAAGAGAAATTTAAAGCAAATAATAAAATTCTAAAATTAATTGCAAAAATAAATAAGAGAGAGGGTTAGAGACACTTGACATTGGAAATTTTTATAGTGGTTCAGCACAATTGTCCTACCCCACTTCTGAAGCACCTCTTGAGTTATAAATTGAAATTTTGACTCTTTCTATGGTAGGAGTCAAACCCGTACACTGTCTTTCTCAAGTGCAAAGACAATCCTCTCCACGGTGAGGATCACACCGTTACAAAGAGTTGGAAATTTTGAAACACACACTTACAAACTCTCAAGTAGAGTGAATGTACAAGTTTGAGCTTACAAACAATTCAATTCTCACAACAATGCATTTCTCTCATAAATAGGATGAAAAGAAAAATTGAGAAGTTGGAGAGAATAACAATTAGAAATGTTGAGATTGTGGGGGATTGAAAATAAGAGAATTGTTTAATTTTGGACGAAGAAATTGGGTTTAAATAGAGTAGAGAAAATGGTAAAAAAATCATGAAGGGTGGGGATTATTTTGAAAAGAATGTGTGTGGGGATTATTTTGAAAAGAATGTTACAACAGTAACTTTGATTTTGATTTTGAATTATTTATTTTTATTTTTTAAATCATTTTTTATATTATTTTTAAAATAAAAGTAAGCTTGTCACTTGTCAGCCTATGAACTGTCCACGTCATCTTCTCTGATATTTATCCTTTCAATTTGTTTCGATCGTAACTTTTCTATTTGAGCTCTGATTTGGATGATCCAAGAGTTGTTGGAATCATTGTAACGAGCTCTACGTTGTAGACACTTTAAAATACTAAAAATGTCAATAAATAAAATTAAGTTTGTTATTATCAAAACATTAATTAATTAATTAAAATTTGTTAATTTGAGATTAAGGGCCAAAAAGTCAATGATCATTTGGTTTGTTTGATGATTTCAGCTAATGGTTGGAAAACATAGGTTTTGGGGATGGGTATATATATCAAAGTGGGCCTAGGAAAATGTTTAGTCAGCCCAAAAACCCATTAAAATTCTATTTCTAACAATTTTGAAGTTTGGCTAATATTTTTTCTTTTAGTTAAAACATACAAGTAAATTATTGTATTCTTTAAAAATAAGAGAAATTGCAGTAGGTAGCAAAAAGTCTTTTATGTATTTCAAAATATGCACTTTATACAAGATATTTTATATCAGTGTATACCACATACATATTGCAAGTATATCAGACACTCATATCATTAATATATAAGATATATTTCACATACATATAACAGTAGTCAGATATATTGCAGATATATTAGAGGTATATATTATTTGAAAAAGTTGTCATTTTAAAATTGGATCTCCTTTTTTAAAAAAAAATGCTATATTTGAAAAAAAAAACTAAATTTGGTTGCCATTTTGCTATATTTTACTAAATATTTTTGTCATATTTGTAACTACCCCTAAAAATAAAGCCTTAATCTAATAATTTTGACTTGAAAATGAAAACTAGATAGTATAATGAATAGTAAGACATCATATATTTGTACTAAAGTCAAGGTTATAAATGTTAATTTCGACGATAGAAATA